GTACACAGGACTATCCTTATATTTAACAGTTCAGTGTTCCCAACAACTGAATACTGCAGGAGAAAATCATGTAATCAAGTACAGTGGTCGTCTGTGAAATTCAGGATCTCACATCTCAATGGGGACTCCACACAGCCAGCAATTCTCCTATTTTACTGGAGTGTACTCTTTCCCACTTCCCAAGATGGCTGTTCCACAGCTCTGCCTCAGACCTTCCACACCTCCCCCTCTGCCCTTACTCTCAGCTGGCAACTTTACCTTACTTCATTAAGCAAATAGAAAGGGGACAGCAATTATTCATTTTACCACCCCAAACCCACAATCCCAGTTTATCATTTTTCCCTCCTGAACATTAATGGCCTCCCCTCAGCCTCCTACAGCCCAACGTCATAGCCTCCTAACTGATTTACTCTGCTACACTTCCTGCCTCTGATTCACTCACTACAGACAGGCAAGTGTATCTTAAAATGGAAATGCTATCGTATCGCTCTCCTCTTTAAAATCTATCAAAGGCATCCACCTCAGTTAGAATGAAATTAAACATCCTCGCCATGGCCTGCAGGGTCATTGCAAGCCACTCTTCCCTAACTCAGGGCACCTCACTCCTGGTGGCCTCTTCTCACTGCCACAAATACAGCATTCCCTCCTCACTCAGGGGCTTGGCCTTGTTCCCTCTGTCCAGAGTGTCCCCCTCCCACCTGCTTTTCCCATCTACCTTTAGATTACCCCTCAGAAAGGGTCCCTTTGATGACTCTCCCTAAAGTGGGGCCCCTGGGGATGCTCTACCTTACACAGCTTATAACTCCTTTCTTTGTTTTGTATTTTCTTGGTTTTTAAAAAATCTTCCCCCTACTCACAAGAAGCTCCATAAGAAATGAACCAAGTCTGCCTTGTTCTTCCTGGTGTTTTCAGGGCCCAGATAGCACCCAGCGTGGTGGAGCCACTCAATACCTCTTAATTAATTCACACACTCACTAGAGTTTCCTCAAGCATCTTAAGTGGGGCAAGAATCCAAAGTTCAATTGTTTCTAAAAGGGAAAATGTGATTTTTGTGAATCATCAAAAAAATGTACAAGTGTTAAGTAAAGGCGCCGTTGAGGGAAGTGGGGATGGAAAGATGGGGAGGATTTCCTTGGGCAAACAGAAATGCAGCTTAAGAGAAGCTTAGCTTGGCAGAAAAAAATAGAGTCATTGTCAGTCCATCTGTCAGCTAACGGGGCATACTGGACCCCCTTGACCCATAAATTGAATAAGAAATTTAATTCAATAAACATATTTAAAATCCTAGTCAAAGGAATCAAGATCATAAACTCTGATATATAGGAACTGTATGGAGAATTAAATCATATAGTATGAAAAAAACGCAAACACATCACCTAAACTGTTGGGCTTTCTCAAGAAAAGCATTAAATTCACTTTGTCCCTGATGTTTCTGAGATTCTCATGGAAAACAAAAGCATTTGCTGCCACTTATCAAGACTTGCAGTTTATGCTTTCGAACAGGCAGCAAGGACAGCACTGTTGAAATGCTGGGTTCAATAATGACTTTGTTCAGTGTAATCCTGGGGCCAGTAAATTCAACAGCGACAGCATAAAGACATAATTTGATGCTCTTTGCTGTAGAACTCCACATATCTTGGCCTGATGCCCTCGGCCACCTTATTTATTTGCTACATTCCAGAGTCTTAGTTATTAAGTTGTGCTTTACACTGCACACCCCAAACACTCCATTTGTTCATTCATTCTCTCATTCAGCAGTTCAACAAGCCTATCTCAAGAGCCTACAAAATACCAGGCACTGTTCCAGGGGCTAGAGATAGAGCAGGGAACAAAGCAGACAAGGCGCAGATCTCCTGGAGTTTTCAAAAATACAGGGGATGATGAATGACAAGTATCTTCCCAACCTAAGAAACGAGGAGCTGCACGAAGGAAACAAAACAAGGGAATCAAAGAAAAGGGTGAGTGGGGTCACATGTGGGTAAAAATGGGGAACTTAAGGAAGAGGAGAAACTCTGGTGAGGAAAAGGGGTCTCTCTGAAAAGGAGGTACTTGAGCTGAGGAAGAACAATGCCTCGCAGAGAATATCACAAATGACCCATGGCCCAGGGTCAGTGTGGCTGAGCAGAGTGAATGCTGTGTGGTGAGCAGGAAGGCAGGGATAGACCAGACCATGGGGTATTGAGGGGCCACAATGAGGAAATCTGATACATTTCAACTGCCTGTCCAGGCAGATCCTCTCTCTATCCTCGCGTGCACGCACTTGCGCATGCGTGTGTGTGTGTGTGTGTACATGCATGTGCATGCACAGGAGGAGGTTTATATAGCTATCAGCACTCCCTTGTCCTTTGGCTTCTGCTTGTGTTGAGACACGGCCCCACTTCCCCTGGTTTGCAGAGTGCAGAGGGTAGGAAGAGAATGAGGGGTTGCTGTGGACAGGCTGTGACTCTCCACAGAAGGTCAAAGCTCCTGTCAGGAGCCCTTTTCACACAATTCTCTTTCTGGGCTCCTATAATTGCTCGCCCGCACTGTCCTCTTCAGGCCTGGGATAATAATGGCCCTGCATTCTTAATGCCCCTTAGGGGTGCTACACCAGCCTTAGTCACTTTTTGAAAACCTGCTCATGTTCTCCTAGAAATTTTCATCAAACACCCAGCCTGAAAGTACTATTCCTGCCAGGACCTTGACGGATAGATTCTATTCTGAAAACACCGCACCAAGCCACTCTCTCACCTTCAGCAGTTACCTTTTGCTACCTCCTTAGTCTTGGTAAGCCACTTGCTGGAAGCTGGTTTCTGTAAGTGGCATGTTACTCCACATAACATTGCCTTTGGAATTTTTAGAAGTTTCTGGGTCGATTAAATGTCATCCAGCTCCTATGGTTCCCTTTCTTTGCACAAAGCTTCCCTGAGATCAGAGCTCTCTTTAGGGTGATGCAAGTCATACCAATAAAATGATTCAGGACGGAATTTTGAAACTAAAAGGCAGTGTGGTATAGAAAAACCTCTGAATTTGTACTTTAAGTTTAACTGTGTAACTCTTGGCAAGTAAATTTCCTCATCCTTAAGGTAGTAATGATAATAATGTGCAGCGATAAATTTATTTAAGAACACTGGCCTCATTGGGCCATTTCGAGGATGTAGCAGAAGATTACTCCAGCATCAGCTTCTTTGCTTCACTGATTCTGAGACACAGAATATAAACAAAACCCAGGACGACTCATGTTTTGGTCACTCCTTAAAATTGCAAGGTCCCCACAACTGTTATAATACATTGATTATTGTATTAGTCAGCATGAGCCGCCATAACAAAATACCAGACTGGGTGGCTTAGACCACAGAGGTTGATTTCTCACAGTGAAGGAGCCTAGGAAGTCCAGGTTCCGGGTTGCCAGCGTGGCTTGGTTCCTGCTGAGTGCTCTCTGTTTGGCTTTCAGACAACAGCCTTCTTGCTGTGTCCTCACGTGGTGAAGAGAGACAACTCTGATCTCTCTTCCTCTTCTTATAAGGGCACCAGCCTTGTGAGATTAGGAACCCACCCTTACAACTTCATTTAGCCTTTATCATCTCACAGGTCCTATCTCCAAATATAGTCACATTGGGGGTTTCAGTTTCAACCTGTGAATTTTGGGCAGATGCAAACACTCAGTTCACAACAGTCATCTAAACCAACTGCATGATAACCATTACCCAAACATTATCTATTTCTCTCAGGAACGGCAACACAGATTATTTGGAATTCCATTAGATTAAAAGCTCTTTTCCTCTACAACATATAATGATGCATGCTGAAGATTATGATTAAAAATACTGAGTTAGGTTTAGTAATTTATATAAATAACTTACTTCGAATACATGTACAAAACTAAATCAAAGAGCCAATGTCCAATTTATGCAACTACTCAGTGCCTAAAATTCTAAATTCCTAAGAGTGCCATGACTTTGCTAAGATTTTAACCAAAAATCTTGACTAGCATGAGAAATACTGCTTTGCATGGCTGTCATACACATTCCTGCTTTAGTAAGGAATTCAAATTTTTTAACTCTTAAAAAAAAATGGCAAGAAACTTGAGAATTTGAGAATGGAATACTTCACAGCAGTTTTTTAATTAACCAGATCTACATGTTTCAACAGGAATAAACCTTAAAAGCAAGTATAACCCACATAAGCAAAACCGTTTCAAAAATTAAACAAAAAAAAGTTGGATACTGCAACTTCCTAAAAAACTAACTCACCTCTGCCTTTCTGAATAAAAATGAAATGGAATAAAACAAATCAGTCTTCACTGCTTCCTCTATCTGTGACCACATACCATCATTTAGTCTAATCTTTTACATTTTTTCCCCGTCCCTTTCGTTTCAAAAATAAAGATAGTAATATTCAATACTTAGAATGTCTATCATGGAGAACTGCCGGCAGCATAAAAAGATAATCATGTGACCTTTACAATATAAAATTCTCCATTTAAAGGATATTTGTGTATAGGGCTCTATAGTTCAGTATCAACTAAAATTTATTTAATACTATGTGCCAGATATTACAGTAGCGCTTTTGTTTTCAATTTATATTTACCTTTTACAACTCATACAATTTTGGCACACTAGCAACTGAGAATGTTGAGGGGCACATATAAAAAATACTTTTTATGAGATCCACAGTTATGGAGCAATCACACAAGTCTTCTCCTTGAAATATCTTTATTTCATTTTATTTTTTACTGCCCTAAAAGATGGGGTTAACAACATGGCACATGTATACCTATGTAACAAACCTGCACATTGTGCTCATATACCCTAGAACTTAAAGTATAATTTTAAACAATGTTTTTTAAAAACGCATGGGGTTAAGACAGTAAATAATCCAGGTAGTCAGGAGAACCTAATGAAACAGCCGTTCTGCTCTGCCTAACTTTCCTACCTTCCCTTGCTGGGGCACCACTGCCCACGGGTGGAGCTACCAATTAAGTCAGAGCCTCAGGGTGACACACAACTACTGAGCCAACAGACATCCAACAAGTACTCTCTGTATCCAGAAACACTAACTTATCTAAGAGCAGAGAATTCACAGGAACCCTATAATCGTCAGTTAGGTAAGAAAAATAAAACCAATTTTGAAAGTTTGCTGGGGAATAACATCAGCATTTAAAAGTCTCTGAAGTGGAGAATGTTCCACTACATCATTACAAGGAAAGGGGGATGCTCCTAAAACCTGGCAAACCAAAATCTTAAATCACCCCTTAGTTTGCCACATGTTATTTGCCTCGTCAAAGGTCTTTGCCATCATAAAAATTTGTTTCTTAAAACTCAAACCCCATCTTGCAAGACAGAAGATCAAAGAGCTTCCCAGAGTGTTTGGGACTGGGAAATTCTTTTTTCCATTTGTAGGGTTTGCATCAAAACAGATGCAGCAAGAAAAGCTGCATCTCAATGCCTTTGGGACTTTATGAAGGTAGACAATCCTGGTTGAGCAGAGATATTGCAGATGTCTCCCCTGTCATGGAGGATAACCTGCCTTCCTGGGTAGGTGGAGCCCAACCACAGCAGAGGATGATATGTGGAAAGCATTATTCTGAAGGAGGGAGAACTAATTCACCCTGTCACCTCTCTTCGTTGAGGAAAGCTAGCAATTTGAGAACCTGTGTCTGTATCCATTTTCTGTGTGAAAAGGAAGCCTTTTGCAATAAAACAGGCATTTTGTCATCTTTTAACAAGATGTCCATTTTATTTTTAGAAATACGCAAAAGATAACTGAAGACAAGAGACTTTCTAGCAGGTCCTCTTCTGTTCAGTGAGGCCAGAAAATGAGACATAAAATTGTATCAGTATACAATGGTCCCTTGTAGTTAAAAAAATATACATGGTTCTTCTTGGAGTTTTCGAAAAGCAACATTAAGCAGCTCTACCATGAATATTATTTAGTATAAGACTTAGGTATATGGAGCTTTAGATTTTCCAAAAAAATATCTACACTACTTGGAGAAGCATTTATGGTGATTGCTATATGCAACAGCTTGTTTGAATTCATTCTTTCAATTTTAGAAGCCACAGGAATGTATCAGAAATGGCCAAATCATGAATATTATTTACTTTATTCTAAATGTAACTAGACCTAGGGAGACTTTGCTAATTACTGGTGGCGTAGCAGAGCAGAAATCTGTTCATGTCTCATTCAAGCCTTGGATTAGATAAAACATTAGTTCCGTGGAGCTGATCACTCTGGAGGTTTACTCATTTGCCTTGATGCAGTAAATGTTGGCACATTAGGCCTCCTGGAATATCCTGAAGCCGGCCTAATAACACATCTGCTGTGTTTATTTTTGAATGTAAATGGCACTCAAAAGTATGCTTTGAAAATTAATTTCAGCTGAAAAACACTAAACATTAATAAATACAGATTTTGTTTCTGCTAACAATTACTTCACAAAATTGTTAGATGTGGTGGAAAGAACTAGTTTACAAATACAGTTTGCAGCAATTAAATCCCTTCAAGCCAAACTACTCCAAACTGGATGGATTCCTCTTAGATGTTGTGGGGGATATTCATACAGACTTAAAGGATTTTTATGACTTTGTGTGTACATAAAGAGCAAAGGCGCCGCGTTAGGTCAAGGATGGTGCTGTGAAAACAAAGGGAAATTAGTTTCTAACAATTGGATCAAGACAAAAGAACAGTTACACAAATCTCTTAAGAAAATGCATTCTTAGTTGACATGGACAACGAAAACAACAAAGATGACACATTCCTGCTATTTTCTAAATATCTTCTCTAAATTCTAGCAAAGGCAGAAGGGTGCTCTTTCTTTAAATCCGCCAAATCTAAAATGATCAAGCAGTAATTACGGCACTCTGGCCTGCAGTATGAATTAGAGATGGTCGGCTCACCCTAACGGCTGGAGTGGACAGATTGAAGCATTCAGCTAGTTCTTAGAACCACGGGCCATCTGTTTACATTGTGTGGTGAAATCACCACGCTGAAAGCTGCCTGGGTACCAGTAGTATGGCCTGCAAACAATCACCCCTGGGATGCTTGGTTCTGTCTAATCATTGAGGAGAAGGGAAATCATCCTGGTGTGAGCAATCCAGAGACCTCTGCTCATTTGTATCCAGCTGCAGGTCTTGGACCTCTCATCCTGGGCTTTTGGCATTCAGCTTCCTCACCTGTGAAATGAGGAAACTGATCCTCTTATCCCCCTCTAAGGTGCTCATCATACCTCTTTCAAGCCTTTATCCCACCACAGGGTGATTGCAAAATTGAAATGGTAATATATAAACAAACAGAATTTTCAAAGAGATGAGAGCAAAGGTGACTCTCTCCTAACACAAACCAAGCCAAATAACTTTGTGATAATGGAATATGGAATTTTCAAAAACAGAAGACTGAGCTAGAGAAAGCTAGCTCATTATATTTAGGTATACAGCTAAAGACTCCTGGACTGCAAGAAACCTGAAGGACTGGGGTAGGTGTCAAGCATCTTTCTATTCTGTGGCAGCCAGAGCAATAGCTTGCAAGTTGTAGACACTCATGTATATTTGTTGATGGAAAAGTGGCTAACTTAAATTTTTAAACAGCAGATTTAAAACAGTTGCATTCATTAAAATGATTTAATATTTGTGAGCTCAGAAAGTTTTAAAGGGCTCAGGGAACATGAACTAAATAGTAGGGTAAAACTGTTTGACCCTGTGGTCTGACCCTGCCTTCATCAAAGTTGAAGACACTACATGCGGACATAAAGTGTGGTATTGGCAGGAATGCAGTTCAGGTGTGCTCAATGGAGCCTCTCTGGGAGTAACTGACAGGACCCAGCAACAAAGGACACTGGCTCGAGCTTCTCTGTTTCTCTCGAATTTGCTACATTTATATTCATTTTATATGCATTTCAGATAAACTGAAGTATGAAATTGTGTAGTGAGTTTTCTGCCTTTTATCCACTCATTCCCAAGAAAAATGAAAAAGAGATTTGGGGGTGGAGGGTTTGCCGGATGAAAATAGTTAGGAGTGAAAGCAGGAAAACCAGAAAAGCCACATACTGCCTTCTCTAATTTTATTCATATCACATCCTAAAGAGTTTAAAGAAAAAAAAAAGTTTCTCTCTTGCCTCAGTTGTTTATAGTTCTTCAGCAATCTTGTCCTGATTCCAGACCATGTTGCTGGGTCAAACCCAAGATCAAAATGCCCAACATGGTGTCAGTTTTTATTTCAGAAATTGGTCTGTTAATGACATCCTAATGTCTATCGTCATATAGCAGGAACTATATTAATATTTTTTTCTCTCAGGCACTGTTACACAGATGTCAGCTCTAATCCCTATAGAAGGCTGCTACAAGTCAATCTTCATGGAAATATATTAGTGATGCCTGTGAAGTTTCTAGAAATATAAAAAGTGTGAAAATTATAATTGAAAAAAAGAAGCCTTTAAAAAACATTAAGTTTATCTAGAAATATGTAAAATTATTCCACTTGATGACAATAACTACCCACGATTCTTTCAAAACTACATTAGTCTAATGTAAACCAATAATACGTATATTAAAATCCTTCAAATTGTCTAAATATATCAACTGTTTTATACAAATCAAACATAAGAAAGCTCTCTGTTTTGGCTGAAAGTGATGCCTGACATTAATATTTCACAATTATGAATTAAATGAATACAAAATCCATTTGTAAAACGTTATTGATGTTTCTTTTTCAATATAACTTTTGTGCTGTGTTCAGAGAGCAGGAATACAGATGTTTCCCAACCTGCAGGGCTGGGGCAAGCCTGCCTTTTAAGAGCACGATTGTAAACCGATGAAAGGTGTGTAAACAGATGACAGGGGCAATTACAATGTGGAATTGATTAGACTCTCAATTACTAATGGCACGTCGCCGGCATTCTTCTTTTTATGCTGCTCTTTGATGACAAAAACAACATGAATAGCTCATCAGGGCTACAATATGTTTGTATTTTGAATGTCTCTCAGTAAGGGAACATCTGCAACTGCAGTTGAAGCTATAGAATGCGAGTGAGCTGGCATGGATTCTTACAGAAAAATGAGTCATAACGATTTCACCCCCAGCAGGTATCAGTCACTTTTTAATTTTTCTTAATGCCAACAAAGAGTAAGCAAGGCGCTTGGACCAAGGAGAGAGTGTTAGAAGGGAGAAGCGGGGGAAGAGAACATGGTGGGGACTTAGACATATTAAGTTAGGAATAGAAGTGTTAACTGGAGCAGAATCTGTAAATCTGTAAGTCAAATGATCATTAGTTATCAAGGATTGATTAACTGCATCTGCTTCCATACTGTATATCTCTATAATAACTGTATCTTACAAAATTTCTCCTCCCTATTCATTTTCTGATTTTTTAGCTTGTCTTACAGATGCTGAAGAAGCTCCCAAAATATAGTTGGGATTTTAGTAACAAATATCCCATGAGTTGTTGAATTGAATTCAGTAGTCTCAGAAAACCCAGCCTGGCCCTCCAAACTCCAGCCTCCCCACTGGGTCTCACACCTTGACAGTATGCTCCATTGCACTGCCATTTCTACACCCCATGTCTGGGCCTGGCTGAAACTTCAAGGCTCCCGTTGGAAGGCAGCCCATCTTTGAGGTCAGAAGAAAACATTGTCATTCTGAAAGTTGGCCACTCACCTTCAAAATATCCCTTCCCTATGGTTTTTTGTTGTTGTTTGTTTTGTTTAAAGGCAACAAAACAGCTAGTCTGTGACCCATACCAGAGCTGTTAAAACAGAAGGATTAACTCTAGACTTGGCCCCAGGTGCTGGCAGATGTTTTTGAGAACAGAGTTGGGGATGTTTGAGAACACTGAGAACTCACGCTTGTAACGTGCAGATGTGGTGAACCTGGAGCCAGTTCAGAGAAGTGACAAAGATGATGAAAGGGCTAAAGAATGGTTTCTGAGGGAAGGCTAAAGGGATTCTTTTTGCCTTTATCCCAAGAAATGAGAAAATAATGATTATTAACTTCAAAGCCAGTTTGCTCTTCATGTCTGCAACAAACCCAATGAATGGAAAAAGTCTCAAATTAAAAGCAGGAGAGAATTGGGTGAGGTAAAAGGAAGACTTTCTTGCCCTTCCAAGGAAGAAATATGGCAATCTGAGGTCATGGAGTCCACATTTGTATACAGATTTTAACAGAGGGATAGACCACACATTTCTTTATAATTAAATTTGACTTCTCATTTTTTAATTGTTTTTTTCCTTCGTTGTTTAGACTCTGAGGAGCAAAAACTGGAAATATGTAATCGTTTCATTTCCCCACTCCATTTCTGTTCTTCAGACCCCCACGGCCTGGTCTTACGAATGTACCATAAAAGGACACTCATGGCTAGATCTCAGTTCTCAGTGGTCAATATTTTTCTTGATTTTTACTATTTTCAGCACTTTGCAAAGACATATGGGGAAAAGGAAATGGAGGATTATGGCTAGTCGGGGAGGCTTAAAGTCAAGAGAAATTGGCACAGATCTGGAAGAGAGCATATGTCATTGATCTTGTCCACAAGCTAATTGAGAACATTCCCAGGCTTCACAGGGCAATACTATTTCTAGACTCTCAGAATTTAAGAAGCACTCGATAGTTCGACATAAAGCAGTGTGCTTGCTGGATACGGAGTCTGGTTAAGCAATAACTCAATCTGTCTTCTGAGGCCTCCAATGCAGAAAAACTAAGGAGGCTTTGCTGCTGTTTAGTGACACCTCCACACCTACTATAAAAAATAATAGTATTAATAATAAAGAAAACACTGAGGGGCTTTGTTCAAAATAGCCAAGTGCCAACTGACCCTTTTGTTTCCTTACCCAGCTGAAATATTCACCTTCACAATACTTCTTAAGGAACCAGTTCGTCCCAATGGCCCAACTGAGACTCCAACTACAAAGTAAAAAGAGCAAAAGCCTCTGCTGGTGACCTTCAAGCTGGCTAAAGACCCAACCAAAATCTGTCACCATATAGAGTTTCCATTTCCCTGTGAGAAACCACAGGGGTACATGCATGGGTGACATGAATAGAGGTGCTTGGTTGTAAAATGTTATTCACATGCAAGACATCATTGTTATTGTTTCCTGTAATTATTCTGCCTAATAACAAAAGGAAAATGACTGATTTTGACACCCAAGTTTTGCTGTAAATAGGCAGAATGTTGTCATGAATATGCAAAATATTATGATCATTGCCATACCTAACTAATTGCATTTGAAACATGCTGGCCATAAAATAATTAATTAGCAGTGCAGAAAGGCATCATGATACTAGCTATAAATACTAAACATAACTAATTATTTCCGTCATAAAATGGTCCTGCCAAGTAATTTATAACAAAACCTGGCATAGAAGGCAAAGCCCAGAGTTCCTACAGCTTGGCGTGCAAGGACTGTGTCACCCAAGGCTTTCTATTTTGTGATATTGTTGGGATGAGTGGATACCAATTTGAACATAAACTAAAATGAAACTAATCTAGGATTTTCAATGTTCTTTGAGCTGTTGGGTGATTGTTGTGGAAAATTCAGGCAGATCCTTTTGTTGTTGACATCAAAAGTGGTAGGTCACTCTGGACTTGCAGAGTACATTCTGAGCTCAAGCAAAAATTGATTTCCTTTTTTAAAAAGCAGCTGGCATTACAATGAATAGCTTTCTTTCGATTTTTCTTCTCCAGTGAAGCATTCACTGAATGCAGCAGGCATAATAGGCTGAAGTAAACAGTGTCAGGTTCTGTTATATCAGGAGCTCTTTTAAACCAAGCAGACAAGCTATCATCAGTGCCTGAAACCCTGCAAATCATGGCAGAGTCAGAAAATGAGTTTGTTTCCCGACCAGTGTGTTGATGACATTTTGAAGAATGGAAGGAGGCACTTTGCTAATCACTCTGGCTGCTGCATGCTCCATTATGATGCCATCTCGTTAATGAGCAAAAATAATGTGCCTGGATGAGGCAGTAATAGAATTAGAGCATCCGCAAGCTGGACTCAGGACTGTCGTGAACATTCTCTGGTTTTGCATGAAACATGTGAGAGAGAGCCTTGGGATTCATCTCTTAGAATCATTTATCAGAATCCTCTGGCCTCATTTTTTTTCTGGTGGTTTGAAAATAGGAAATTGGCCTACATCACAACAAAGTATCTTGCCCTAGTTTTTAGTCCTTAGGGTGAAAGACCTCATGACCAACTCAAAGACAGCTAGTCTGGGTTGTGGCTTTTTTGTTTCTACTGTTGGTTCCCCCCTCCCCCACCAAATGACTGCGAGAGAAATGATTGCAAGCAAGGATTTAGGTAGTGGAAATGTTAAAACATATTCATCCATGTCATAGTAGAATCAGGCTTGCAATGATTCAACTGCATGCTAACGAGCCTTAGAAGACTAGTGTTCATTTTGATCTAAAAAATATTTCTCTTCTAAGTACACAGCTCTCTCACCTACATAACTACAACAGTGATACTATGGCCCATTTAACCCTCCTTCATACAGTCCCGGGGATGGGGGGAGATGTAAGTGCCTTCAGAGAGCCCCTAGAATTCAAGGCAAGTGCCATTCACTCCCAGCCAATGAAGCCATCTCCTGAGAGTCTCTCTAAAGTGAATTCTGCCCACTGCTTTCAGGATGAGAGGCAGCCACTGGAATGGGAGGGACTTCCAAGGCACCCCATGGATAAGTGCCCAAGGGTGAAGCAGGGAAAGGAAATACTTTTCACGTGGTACAGGGGACCCCTTCGTCTTCATCCCTCACTAAAATAAAAAAAGCTTCCTCGCCAGGAGGGTGTTTCTAAGCAATCGCACCTCTAAATAGAATGTAATTACGAAGGAAATTAACTTCACAGCTAAAGACTGTGTTGTCGTGATAATTTAGAAAAGTGGGAAGGATGTTTTCTGAGCAATCCCTACTCTTTTTTTCTTCTCTCTTTTTGGTTATCACTTAATGGTATTCATTAAAACCGATAACAGAAATTGCTTCTCTTTAAATTTCTTACTGAGTCTTGATTTAGTTGAGTTAGACTTTTCTTGAAACAATACATTAGTGTCATGCCCAATTGACTTATGTTGTAAAAGAAATAAATCTCCCATGTGACTTTGTTACATGCATCTGGAAATGGTTAAAAATAAGCACTCTGTCATCCATTGTTTAAAGAACAACAGGGATTCTTCTGTCCCCCAATCTCAGTATGCTGTCCCTACTCTGTCCTCTGCTGCAAATGAACTTTGATCAGAGTCCTTCCTTCACTGCAAGCAATATTTACCTTTGGAGATTATACATGCTTGCAACACAGAAAAGGTTTACCTTCCATCACTAGCCCACGGGTCGCTCTTCTTTCAGGCTCGCTTACACTGTCCCTGCAGAGCAACACAGCAGCTCCCCAGTGAGGCCCTGGAGATGTTCAAACTAAAGATTCAAGAGATGCTAACAAAAATCACAGCAATCATTGATCTCATTTAAAATTGTGTTTCAGCTTCAAGTAATTAACTGAGAAATCTCTCTCTTCCACACTTAGAACCCTAAGTGTAATTTTTAGGTTTATTAAGTGGAGCCACCCAGACATGTAACATGGTACCCACTGTTTACTCAAGCTGGGAGATTGTATTTAAAACAAAAGCTGCCTAAACTGACTTAAAAATAGATAATAAATGTGACTGTTGGTCTTGGCCATATCTTTACCAATGTGACCAAATTCTGTGAGATTGAATCAACAGGGCTCAGTCTGTGATATTCAAGACTATAATCCAACAGAGAATCCTGGCCAAAAGGAAAGCAGCTGGTGACACTGTAGAGAGTGTGTCTGAGCCTCTACCATGTGCTAAACATTCCAAGCACTTGATATTGCCATTGTCTCATTTAATCTTCATAACTCTTTAGGATGCTTTTCCTGAAATTTCTCGTATTATAAGCCCTATTTTATAAAGGAGGAAATTAAGTCTTGGATAGCTTAAAGTTCCCCAGCTAGTGATAGGAGAATCCAGGTATGAGTCCTGGTCTTTTGGTCTCTTGGAGTCAAAATACTTGAAGATGCCTTATGTCCATTTGATTTGACCACTGGCATTAGTTTTGGAAAAGACAGGACGTGTATCTTTACTTTTTTATTGCTTAAAAATTTCAACAGAAATCACTATGACTAGCTCCATCTCAGGGAAGTGAATGAACAACAAAAAAATATCTTATCCTCTTTAAGAGCAAAAGAAAGTGGAAAAGTAATCAACATTTACTAGGTCTCTTAAATACATACACACAGACAACAACCCTTCAAGGTGGGCATTTTTATCTGCATTTTGTAGATGAGGAAAATAATGCTCAGAGAGGATAATGATTTGTTAATTTCATCCACCTCAGTAGCAGCAGAGCTAGACTCAAACTGAGATCTGCTTTGTCCCAAATTGCATACTGAAACCTGGGTTAGAATAGAACTTCAAATCTATGAAGATTTGATGAATGACTAGAACTGTCCCAAATGCAGTCCTGACATTGTTGAATTTAGAGACATTGCTATTTTTTGTTTTAATTTTTCAGAGATAGGGTCTTACTCTGTTGTACAGGCTAAAGTGTAGTAGCACAATCATAGCTCACTGTAGCCTCCAACTCCTGGGCTCAAGGGATCCTCCTGCCTCAGTCTCCCAAGTAGCTGGGACTATAGACCCACACCACCTCATCTAGCTAATTCTACTTATTATTTTTTGTAGAAATTGGGTCTTGCTTTATTGTCCAGGCTGGTCTCAAACTCCTGGGTTCAATTGATCTTCCCACCTTGGTCTCCCAAAGTATTTGGATTACAGGTGTGAGCATACAGTGCCAGGCCTAGAGACATCACTATTTAAATCTTCTAATCCAAAGCCTTCCAAAGAAAAAATAAGGAAGTAATCTTAAAATCATTATTCTCAGTCTCTCATGGGGGAAAGCAGAATAAATATGTTGGTTTCCCCATGGTTGTTTGAGGTTTCATGTAAACCATGACATATATCTGCTAGATCATAAGGAACTTAAAGTGAAAATAACCAAGATAACTAGGAAGTATAGTAATAAGATTTGGCAATGAACTATGGTTTAACACTTTTTGCTGTGGGATTTCTCACTATTCAAGGTCAGTGTGCCCCCTAAAATCTCCCTGCCTTTTCAGCAAATTAAGCAAATTTGCAAGGGTTAGTAGCTCCTCATTGTAGCCTTTTCCTTTTTCCTTTGTTATTAGAATATTTCCCTAGGAGAAAGTCAGTGTC